ATCTCCTTGCTATGTCCTCAGGTGGAAGGGGCAAGGGAGCTCTGTAGGGTCTCTTTCATAACGGCACTAATCCCTTTCACGAGGCTTCCATTCTCATAACCTAAGCACCTCCCAAAGGGTCCACCTTCTAATACCATCACCTTTGAAGGTTAGGATTTCAACATACGAATTTTGGTGGGGGACACATCCAGATCATAGCAACATCCAAGATATTTAACATTGGTACTAAAATATTATCTAATGTATATTCCATATTTAAATACTTGTAAATCCCCCCCAATTGTCCACTATAGGTTTTTTTTTCTTTTCTTTTTTTTTAACATCCAGGATCCAAGCAGGAGTAATGTATCGCATTTGGTAGTTTTTCTCCAGTCTTTAGAATACTTCCTCTATCACAGTTGACTTTTTAAAGTCCAGGCCAATTATTTGGTAGAGTATCTCACAATCCAGTCTGATTAATATCATGAGGAAATAATCAGGGTAAACATTTTGGTAAGGATGCTACATAGGTAATGTGGTATATTTCCCATTACTTCCCACTATAGTACCTACCTGGGAAGATGACTAAAAAAACTCAACCCAGTTCTGTGGTACCATCTCTATAGATTTAAAGTTCTCCTAACAAATAGAAAGTGCAGTTGGGGGGCAGAGAAGATTGAGGGAGGCCACAGAATGAACGCCCTTTGGAGACAATCTTGGTTGAGTGGTGCTGGTTGAAACCAGATGGCCCTTGTAATCACTCAGGGGAGGCAGTGGACCTGTGGCTTCAGGGGAACAATGCCACTCCAAATAAACACATCGTAAATAAAACGTGTGCCCCCAGTGTGGAAAACCCAGGTCCCACCCCAGGGCGAAGTCAGAGGTCAAGGTGCAGAGGGACTTCGCCTGGAACAAGAGCAGCGATCGCCATAACCCTTTCTCTGCCCACACGTGAGCTGGTGGGTGGTGTTGGGCACTTCCTCTGAGCGATGCAGATCCACTAGAGCACATACAGGGATCAGGGTGGGGTGAAGATTTCAAAACTATATCTTCGGGGAATTCCTGGTGGTCCAGTGGTTAGGACTCGGCGCTTTCACTGCTGAGGGCCCAGGTTCAGTCCCTGGTCAGGGAACTAAGATCCCGCAAGCCGCGTGGTGCAGCCAAAAAAACCCAGAAAAAACAAAAACCATGTCTTCAAAAGCTGTTTGAAGGAGCCGGAATGTGTAGCCTGACTGCAAGAAGTATCCTGGGGGACGTTACAGTGCTTCATTCTCTCATTTATTTCTTAGACAAACATTTATGACACACCCACTCTGGGACCATGCTGTGCTGGGCTCTGGGAGTGCCAGGGGGACAAACACATTGCCCTGCCTCCAAGGAGTTCACAGTCCTGTGGGGAACCAGCACGTTTGGGTACCTTCAAGTAGGCTGGCACTCAGAAGAGGAAGCCCTTTGATGATGTTTAAGACCCATGGGTGAAAGTTACCGGAAGTCAGATTTGAGTTCCATCCTATTAGACCTGCGCTCCCTAACGAGCTCCCTGAGGTGGGGTTTTGTTCTTGGTCACTGGAGTAGGTAAGCAGAGTGCCCGGGGAGGACACAGGAACAGGCTTTTTTGTTCCACAAGTCATGTAAAGTCAAATTGCATGAAGAAATCTTACTTGAAGCATTCACTGAAGTTTTTCGCAAGAGAGTCCAGTATATGAAGATGTTTCATCATCTCCCTGATACCAGGGATTGTCTAGGGCTGCTTGTCTGGAGATGTCAGAGATCTGTTGTGTCTCTTACTTTGAAAACAAGGGAGTTTTTGTCCCTTTTTATAGTTGGGAAGCCTGAGCCAGAGAAGTCATGTAACTTTCCAAAGTCCCACAGCACAGACGAAAAGTCCTTGGTGGACTTGCCTGGTGGTTCAGTGGTTAAGACTCCACGCTCCCAGTGCAGGGGCACGGGTGCAGTCCCTGGTTGGCGAACTAAGATACCACATGCCACATAGTGTGGCCAAAAAAAAAAAAAAAAAAAAGTCCTCGGCCTCCTCATCCTGACCTTCCTTACCAGCTCAGTGATTCTCAAAAGCAGCAGCTCTGTTGCTGGTAGAAGGAACAGTAATAAGGAGCCCTGGGGCTCTTATTCCACTTTTCGTTCTCCTAGCTCCAAGCCTTCTTCGTGGTGTCAGACGACATCATGGATTCATCCCTCACCCGACGGGGCCAGATCTGCTGGTATCAGAAGGTAAAGTGGGCGGGAAGGTAGCGGTGGGCATGGGAACAGGCCACGGGGAGATGGTCACGTGGAGCCTGTGGAGGTGTTCAGAGTTACAGGTTCTTGGTATGAGTCTAGGCCAAAGACTGATTGCTTGTTTTTCTGTGTCTTTGACAGCCAGGCATAGGTTTGGATGCAATCAATGATGCTTTCCTTCTGGAAGCATGTGTCTACCGCCTGCTGAAGTTCTACTGCCGGGAGCAGCCCTATTATATGAACCTGATTGAGCTCTTCCTGCAGGTGTGCTGCAGACCAGGGCTCAGTGCCCAGAGGCTGCCCACAGTAGCCTTGGCCTCTGTAGGACATTCTCGTCTAGCTTGTTTCGGGACACAGGAGATACCTCGGTTTGCCTGGATGGGGAAGTAATTGAGGAAGGGAATTGGGGAGGGTGGTGGTGGCGAGAGGGGCTTCTGTGTCTCTGTGACTGAGGAGTGGTAAGGGACTGTGCGTGTGACTGGATGGGCCTTGAGTCTTGGGCCCCTCTCTCCCTCCTGCTGTCTTTCTGACTGCCCAGGTGTCAACTGGTATGGGATGTAGGGCCCAAGATTTCAGGGTTCTCCAGCCCTGGAGAAAGCCCAGGTCATGGGCCATTTTCCTCTTCCTTAGAGTTCTTATCAGACTGAGATCGGACAGACCCTGGACCTCATCACGGCCCCCCAGGGCAATGTAGATCTTGGCAGATTCACTGAAAAGAGGTGAGGGACGATGGGAACCATATCTGGACAGTGAGGGAGGGCTGGGGCCAGGGGCATTATCCTTCTGAGGAGTTTATCTTCTCCCCGTACTCAGGTACAAATCTATTGTCAAGTACAAGACAGCTTTCTACTCCTTTTACCTTCCTGTAGCTGCTGCTATGTATATGGTGAGTGAGCCTCCCGACCCTTGCTGCCTTGCCCATGTGGGCTTTTGGATAGGAGGCCACAGGGCAGACAACTGTGGACAGTCTGGTGCCCCCATTGAATGGCTGTGTGATCCTGAGCAAGTTACTTAACCTCTCTGAGTCTGTTTCCTCAGCTGTAAGATGAGGATAAAAATCCCCACCCATGGAACTATTGTGAAAATTAACTGAGTGGTTAATATGAATGTGGATGGCCCATCAAGGGGGAACAATAAATCCTCCATCTGAGTACGGATAGGAGTGGGGAGGATATAATTCAGGCTGAGAGGGAGGAGACTGGATTCGGAGATGGTCAGTGGGATTAACTGTCTATGCTGACCTTCTCCAAGTTTCCTTTTCATCCTGAAAGAATTTGGAAATGGCAAAAAGATTAGGAAGAAGGATCAGAGTGACTCAGGGACTGAGCCTTGTGAGAGAAGAGATAGTCTGAGGGCCTCCAGAATGGACTCACCTCTGCTATGACTCACAGGAAGACCTAGCTAAAATAAGTGGGATAGGGGCTGGACCATCAGTCAGGACTTCCTAGATCAGGGAAGCCAGGGATGTCTGAAAGGAGAGGACAGAAGATTTGGGGGCTGCACTGGGGCAAGACCTAGTGGAATGTAGCGGCCACAGGAAGATGAAGGCACCTCTGGTGTATGGCTTGTTAATCCCCTTTTCACTGTAGGCAGGCATTGATGGGGAGAAGGAGCATGCCAATGCCAAGAAGATCCTGCTGGAGATGGGAGAGTTCTTTCAGATTCAGGTAGGAAGGCATGAGGCACTGGCAGAGAAAAGGCTCCAACTCCTCTTTCCCTGCCTTGGAGCCTCTTCATTCCTCCTTTTCTGCACCTGCCCCCACCCAGGATGATTACCTTGATCTCTTCGGGGATCCCAGTGTGATGGGCAAGATCGGCACTGACATCCAGGACAACAAGTGCAGCTGGCTGGTGGTTCAGTGTCTGCAACGGGCCTCTCCGGAACAGCGCCAGATCCTGCAGGTGCCTGAGAGAGGGCTGTGGATCCCTGAGCTGCTGAAAAAGGGGATAGAGCAGTGGTTCTTCAGTGAGGGTGATTTTGACCCCCCAGAGGACGTTTGGCAGTGTCAGGAGACATTTTTTTGTTGTCATAACTTGGTGTGTGTGCATGTGCCACAGGTATCTCTAGTGGGTAGAGGCCAGAGATGCTGCCCAACATCTTACAATGCATACGGTAACTTTCCACACAAAGTATTATCCAGCCCAAAATTTCAAATGTGCCAAGGGTTGAGAAACCCTGGACTAGAGGAAACTGAGGCCTGAGCCACTATCTGAGCATTTGGGATGGGGAGGGGGAGGGGGAGGTTCAAGATCTTAGATACTAAGAGACACTTGAAACTGGAGGCAGGGATGGAGTGAATGGCATTGGAGATGTTCTGGAATATCTGGATGGGGGAAGGAGAGGGGACCTGGAGGTGCTGGGGGGAGATTAATAAGCCCATTTTCCTGCCTCCAATCCTTCAGGAGAACTATGGGCAGAAGGAGGCCGAGAAGGTGGCCCGGGTAAAGGCACTATACGAGGAGATGAATCTTCGGGCTGTGTTCACGCAGTACGAGGAACACAGTTACAGCCGCATTATGGGTCTCATTGAGCAGTATGCTGCGCCCCTGCCCCCAGCCATCTTCCTGGGGCTAGCAAACAAGATCTACAAGCGGAAAAAGTGACTTAGAGACTGTGAAGGTGGAGGGGGAGGCTCTCAATAAATTGTTGTCTAACCTGTGGTTCTTCTGTTCCTGCTTGTGCCAGCCAGGGGCGCAGCTCTGTCTAGAATGGGCAGGGTGGGGGGCAGTTGCATGGAAGCGAGGACCTCGGGCCTTGGCTTCAGGACCCCCTTGGGACTGAAAGCTTAGGATGCATCAAAAGCCATTGAGCCGGGCCTGGGTGGGTGACACAGGCGAGACGTCAAGCGCTGGGGGCTGGGTCTGAGCCACGCCACGCCCATGCGTGAAGGGGCGCGGCTGCGCAGCGCTGGCGCCGGGCGTCCCAGCTCCGCTCCCCTCCCCTCCAGTCTGTGCAGGCCGGGCGGGGACCCGAGCTGCGAAGGAGCAGACGCTGGAGCGGTTGCAGGAGGACCCTGGTGAGGATGGCTCGTCGTCCTGTGGGTGTGGATGGACGGGTTGGGGCACGCGGGGTGGGGCAAGAGAGGTTAGCGGTAAAAAATGAATAGAGAAGGGGTGGGGTGGTAGCTGGACGATAGAGACAAATGGGGAGAGAATGGATAGACGCGCTGGTTTTCGGAGCAGGGTGAACGTGCACCGTGGCTGGAGGCTGGGGCTCGGGGTCTGTGCCGGCTGGCCTAACTGCCAGGCGGAGTTGACATGATGACGGCTGCTCCGTCCTTTCCCCCACGCCCGCCCCTTTCCTGCATCAACCATCCAGACGAGCCTCCCCACCACCCAATTTCAGAGCATCTGGGCGGGGCGTCCCTTGACCCCTTCCCCTGGGAGTGAGGGGCAGGCCGGGGAGCAGAGCCAGATTGCAGCAGAGAGGACCCGGAGTCCATTCTGGGCCCCATTCTTTTCCAAGCCCCTGCACCTCCAAGGAGATCGAGAGCGCAGCCGCATTCTCTGACCCTCCCCGCCCCATTCCTGGGGGGTTACATTCCACTCCACCTGCAAACACTGCAGCGGAAACTAATGGCCAGTCGATGTCTATTTGCATCTCATTTAAATATTGTCCAAGGCGCCTTTCCAGGCCTGCCCCAGCCGTCAGTCACCTCCGTGTCCTTCCCGCGGCCCGCTCCCTCACTGGCTGGGTTTCACCATCCCTGTCTTCTAGGGCTGCATCTGCGGTTGCCAGGTAGGTGGATGTGAGAGGCTCCTCCTCATTCTCTAGAGGCCATCCCGTCGCCGCTGGCACCATGCTGTCCCCTCAGAGGGCTTTACTCTGCAACCTCAACCACATCCACCTCCAGCATGTATCTCTGGGCCTGCACTTGTCCCGCCGTCCAGAGCTTCGGGAGGGGCCCTTGAGCACATCCCCTCCCCCAGGTGACACTGGGGGCAAGGAGAGCAGAGGCCCCTGCAGCGGGACCTTGGTGGACGCCAATTCCAACAGCCCAGCCGTTCCCTGCCGATGTTGCCAGGAGCATGGGCCAGGCCTAGAAAACCGGCAGGACCCAGCACAGGACGAAGAGGGGGCTGCCTCTCCCTCAGACCCGGGTTGCTCCTCCTCTCTCAGCTCCTGCTCAGATCTTAGCCCTGATGAGTCCCCCATCTCGGTCTACTCCAGGGACCTCCCTGGCAATGAGGATGTCCACCCTCAGCCCAGCATCATTCCTCTGGAGCAAGGCTCCCCACTGGCTTCTGCAGGTCCAGGCGCCTGCTCCCCAGACAGCTTTTGTTGCTCTCCTGATTCCTGCTCTGAAGCTTCCTCTCCACCTGGCCCTGGCCTGGACTCCAACTGCAATGCCCTGACCACCTGCCAGGACCTGCCTTCCCCAGGACTAGAGGAAGAGGATGAGGCTGAGGAGCAGGACCTCCCTACCTCTGACCTCCTAGAGGCTGATGATGGGAAAATCGATGCTGGGAAAACCGAACCCAGTTGGAAAATCAACCCCATTTGGAAAATTGACAAAGAGAAAACTGAAGCTGGCTGGAAAATCACTGAGAACAATAACTCTGATTGGAAAGTCAATGGGAATATTAACTCTAGCTGGAAAACTGAACCTGGAAAATTCGACTCCGGTTGGAAGACCAATACAGGAATAACTGATACGGGTTCCAAAACAGATGCAGGGAAAACTGATGGGGAATGGAGAAGTGACGTCAGCAAGGAGCCGGTGCCCCACCGGACAATCACGTCCTTCCACGAGCTGGCCCAGAAGCGCAAGCGGGGCCCAGGGCTGCCCCTCGTGCCGCAGGCCAAGAAAGACCGCAGTGACTGGCTCATCGTCTTCTCGCCAGACACCGAGCTGCCCCCTACGGGGTCGCTCGGTGGCTCCCCGGCGCCTCCCCGGGAAGTCACCACCTTCAAGGAACTCAGGTCCCGAAGCCGGGCCCCGCCCCCGCCAGTCCCGCCCCGAGACCCCCCAGCTGGCTGGGCCTTGGTCCCGCCCCGGCCCCCACCTCCACCCGTCCCTCCACGGAGGAAGAAGAACCGACCTGGGCTGCAGCCCATAGCAGAGGGGCAGCCCGAAGAGGGCAGGGCGGGGAGCCCAGCTGCTGGTGAGGAGGCCCCAGCCGCAAAGGAGCCGGAGGAACCAGGCCCGCAGGCCGGCGTTGAGGGTAAGAGGCCACAGGAGGTAGCGAGAGGAGGGCTGGGCTTTGGCCTCACCCACACCTCCAAAGCTTCCAACCCCACCCCCTGTCTCCCCTCCATTCTGTGTCACCCATCCTTCCCGTCCCCTTCTACCAGGGAGCGCTCCGGGAAAGGGAAACTGGGTGGGTCCTTGGGTTACGGGACTAACTCTTTGCTCCCTCTTTCTCCCGCCCCTCCTTGCCTGGCTGCCCATCCCGCTGGCCTCCTTCCCCTCCGCACCTGCCCCGCCAATCCTGCCTGCAGCCGGTCCCCTCCCGCTCCCTCGGCCTCTGGTTTTCCGGTTCTCGGCTGACGGGCGCCCCCTGTTGGAGGGTGGGGGCGCGGCCGCAGCTGGGTCTCTGCTCCTGGCGCCTCTGGCCGGCTGGCCCGGCGCTGGGCTGCGGCTACTGGGGGCGCCGAGTTCCCCAGAGGAGCAGCTGCTGCCTGTCCGCCTGTCCCCGGTGGGGGCCTATTCGCCTCCGGCTAGGGGGGACCTGCCTTGCCTGGCCAGCCCTGAGCTGGCACTGCTGCTGTCCCCGCTCTTTCCCAGAAGTAGCACCTTCCCCGCCGCGGCTTCCCCACTCCGCCAGGTACCCGCCCCCCCGCTGCCACGGCCACCTCGTCCGCCGAAGGCCCCTCGCTGGACCAGGAGCCCACCGCCTCCTCCCAGGCTACGTAAGAAGGACCCGGGCCAGCCCCGCGGGCCACGCCTCAGGCGGGGCTGCCCCGCCCACTCCAAAGCCCCACCCATCCTCGCCCAGACCTATTCTGGGTCCTGCCCTTCAACCTGGGCGGATTCTAAGTTCATTGGTACTGGGGAGTCTGGCCCTGCTGGCTCCCTGTACTGGGCAAAGGTTGCTGCTTTTTCCGCTTCGTGGCCCGGCCACCCTCCCTCGAGGCCCAGGCATAGTGGATACGGGCTTAGCAGGCTTTCATGCGTTTAAGGGAGTCCCAGCAAGTCCATTGGTAAGGACCTTGGGTCACACCCTCTGTGGAATTCTCTGGCCAGTGCAGTTCGAGCCTGATCCCCACCGTGCTCGGGAAGGGTAGAGGGTGAAGTTCGCTGAGCTCATTGGCTGAGGGGGTTCTGGTCACTCCTTCTCCATGGGGCCAGGCCCACGTGGGCTGCAGCGGGCGCCCTCCTCCGAGATGCTGGCGCAGGACCCCGGTTTCCCCTTTCCAGCGCCTTCCAGCCTCCCAATCCTTGGGTCTCCTCTCCCCGTGTCTCTCCTCCCTTTCCCGTCTGTCTGTCTTTCCATTGGTCCAGGCTCCCCACGTGCTCCTTGGGTCCCTGCAGACCTGACAAGGGCCCCGGGGCGGCGGGCACAAGGCTGCCCCTCCCTTCCCTCGCCCTGTCATCTCCCGCCTTACAGGCCTCTGCCTGGCAGGCGGGAGGTGAGCGCGGCTGCCCCACGTCGGGACTTCCGGGATCGAGGAGCTGGGCCGTGAGGAAGGGAAATAGGAACCGGGAAGTGGGGAGCAGGATGGCAGTGCTGAGATATGTGCAGGATTTCACTCTGGGAGCCCGGGTCGAGCTGCCCTATGCTCCACCCAGACCTGTGCTCCCTTTCCCAAGACTTGAAGGGCAGGGATGCTGCAGACCCGCGGGAGATGACCCGTGTGGAAGCCTGGAGTCCTTGGGGTAACCCCTGGTAAGTGTCACTGCGTTCTTCTTCCCTTACCCCAGTCCGTAGTTCCTGGTCGTTCACCGGCGTCCCCGGGGACCAGCGACTGTGGATGGCAGAAGCCCAGAGTGGGACTGGCCAGCTGCAGGAGCAGAAAAAAGGTAGGACACCCTGACTTCCGACCCTTGGTTTGGGAATCAACTTCCCCTCGCTTAGGCCCTCCTCTCTCAGGGTCAAATTGTGTAAACCGGGCTCTCCAAGTCCATTGGGGTTTGCCTAGGGAGAGACAGGGGGCTTTGACGCTTCTTCCCTTCCCTGGCCCCCACCCAGGTCTCCTGATAGCTGTCAGCGCTTCAGTGGATAAAATCATCTCGCACTTTGGGGCCGCCCGGAACTTAGTGCAGAAGGTGAAGGTGCCTGTGGGAAGGGCGTTGGGGTTGAGGAGGTGAATGTAGCTCTGAGGTGCAGGAGCAGTCGGCGGGGAGAAGGCTGGAGGTATCTCTGGACCCATGCCCATTGCACTGCCTCCAGGCCCAGTTGGGGGATAGCCGTCTGAGCCCAGATGTGGGGCACCTCGTGCTGACCACCCTTTGTCCGGCCCTCCATGCCCTGGTGGCCGACGGGCTGAAGCCTTTCCGGAAAGACCTCATCACTGGGCAGCGCCGGAGCAGCCCCTGGAGTGTGGTGGAGGCGTCTGTGAAGCCAGGTGAAGCGGGGAGAGTGTGGGGCTGGGCGGGCGGGGGCAGAGACTGGGCCTGGCTGACTGTGCCCTGTGTCCTCAGGCTCCAGCGCCCGTTCCCTCGGAACCCTGTATGGCCAGGTCAGCCGTCTGGCCCTGCTAAGAAGCAGCCGTAGCCGCTTCCATGCCTTCATCCTGGGCCTCCTCAAGTGAGTAGCCTTCTTTCTGGCATCCCTCCCATGGCCTGGAGATGGCAGGAATGTCATGGGTGGGACACATGGTGGGTGCCCCATGTCCCCAGAGAAGGTCTTCCCTCTTCCAGTCTCATCTCCCATCCTCCACCCACAGGGGGCTGGAGTCCTCCACCTCCTTGAACTTCTGTTCCCTCCTCTCTCCCCCAGCACTAAGCAGTTGGAGCTGTGGTTTTCCAGTCTCCAGGAAGATGCAGGTCAGAGGCTCAGATGGGAGAGGATGGGGGTGCTAGGCTGGGGCCGGTGGGGGAAGGGATCTCTTCTGTTGGTTCCCCCTGGTGCCAGATCTTACTACTCTCTTGCTTAAAACTCTTTCAAGGAGTCTTATTGTCCATAGGAGGAACGACCCAAATCCTCACTGTAACCTCCAAAGTCTTGGTTATCTGGCCTCTGCCTTCTTCTGCTTGCTGCCTTCAGGTCTGGGGCTTTCCCTGGTCCTGTGACAGTCTTCCTTTCCTGTTCTTCCTGCCCCAGGGCCCTATTTTTATGGTCCCTCCACCTAGAATAGGGCTTCCTGCCCCTCCTGCCCCCTCATTAACTTTCATTCATCCTTTGGGTCCTTCTTCAGCGAGGCTCCACCCCCACCTCAAACTAGGCTAACTCACCCCCATTCCCCACCCCGCTCGCCCATTTTGCTCCCATGGCCCTCAAGTCCTCCTTTTCGTTATAGATTTGTCACCACACGTTCTACGTGTGTCTCCCTCTCTAGGCCGTGGTTCCACACGGGCGGGGATGTGGCAGCTCTGCACCCCTCCGTGTCCCCCTCTCTCTGCCCCAGTGCCCAGCATAGTAAGAGGCCTGGGAGGATGTTCGCGATTGGTGGGCTGATGCTCTGGACTAGGCCCAGAGCAGGGGCTGATGTTAGCCTGCTCTTTCCCAGGCCTGCTGTCCCTCCTGTACCTGCCCACCGGCTTCTTCTCCCTGGCCCGGGGCGGCTGCCCCTCCTTGTCCACGGAGCTGCTGCTCCTGCTGCAGCCGTTGTCGGTGCTCACCTTCCACCTGGACCTGCTTTTTGAGCACCACCACCACCTGCCCCTGGGCCTGCCTCAGGCCCCTGACCCCCCAGGCTCGCCTCCAGCCCTGCAGCAGACTGTGCAAGCCATGCTGCACTGGGGGGGTCGGCTGGCCCAGAGCCTCCGGGGGGCTTCTGGGGAGACCCCTCCAGGCCCTTCGGCCCCCTCAAGCCCTCCTAC